TCACGAACCAGGGACGTTAAAGGGAGAAGGGAGAGCGCCCCAACCCTCACCCTCGGGTATCTGGATTAAGCCTCTCACTGAATCGTATCAATGAAGGACTTGAAATCCCACTCTTGAGAAAAATCTCATAAGCAAGATAATGAACAGGCTTATAATCAAGACATGGGCCTTGGCTCCGTGTGACCTATGAGGCAGTAAGAACCCTTTGACCTTTCTGGGTCTGTGGCTTAGTCAGAACTCTTCCTTTTCTTTAAACATTTATCATTCATTTCATAAACCAGTTGATAACCTCTGTTAATTAAGACACAATCTGTTTATTATCTATGCACTTTGGCGATAGTGGAGATTAAACAACACGAGACCTCACACACGCTAGGCGAATGTTCTCCCTCTGAGCTACATCCTCAGACTCATTTTACTTTGTTTTCGAGACATGGCTTCACCATGTCTGTCAGGCATGCTTGAAGCCCGGAGCAGCCAGACCACAGGCCTGGGCCCTAAAGACTGGCAAGGAGAGTTCTTTAGAGAGAATAATTATACCAAAATATTTCCAGTTAATCTTTCAGATCCTCTGAGCAATGTGTTCTCAGTAGCCACCAATATGCATGCACTATTATTATTACACTTAAATATGACTCTCTTCTCAGAAGCCTGGGCCCTCCCTAGGGTACGTATAACAGTCCTTTTTTTCCCCAACATCTCCTCTAACTCCCTTCTCCCTACTCCCCCTCCTCTCTTCTCCCTCCCTTTCCACTTCTCCTTTCCAACCTTCTTCCCCTCCCTCCTTCCTCGTTCTCTCTTTCCTTCCCCATCCTCCCTCCCCTGCCTCCTCCTGGAACTCTCTCTCTTTTCTCCTTCCTCCCTTTTTCTGTCCCTCCTCTATGCCTTTGCTTCAAATTCTATAAAAATCTCTCTTTTCATAAACAGATCTTAACTTTGCTTCATATCGCCTAGAAATTCTTTCCATCAGCAGGTGGTTCTGGCTACCCTTGAGCAGAGTGCTCCTCAGGCCACACTGACACAAAGATCATTTACACACACACACACACACACACACCATCCTAGAATTAAGATACATTTCTATTCTGTTTGTTTTTTTTTTTATTTTTGTTTTGTTTTTCAAGACAGGGTTTCTCTGTGTAACAGCCCTGGGTGTTCTGGAACTCGCTCTTGTAGGCTATGCTAGCCAAGAACTCACAGAGATCTGCCTGCTTCTGCCTCCCGAGTACTAGGATTAAAATTGTGCCCCACTGCTAGGCTAAGAGATACATTTTTCAATTGATGGTGAATAAAGATTATAACTGGTCATATTTTTTCTGTTGCAGTAGTAAGTAAAATGTATTTAATTTGGTGTTCATTTCCCTTAGGTTTAAGATATAGCCTATATATTCAATAAAGTAAAACATTTCACAAATTCCAGTTCTTACTTTACGCCACACTAACACAATCAATTAGAAAGGCTTGCCAACCACATTTTTCCTGTTTATCTGTGCCTGTTCCCTTAGGTTCTGACTTCTTGTCACCCAGATCAAAGTTTCCGGGAATAATGCCTAGACTCCCGGGGTCTCCTAAAGCCCTTGTCGGGGTCTTCACAAGGTGAAAAATAACAACATCACGACTGTTTGTCTTTTCGCTCCTTTCTCCCCACAAGCAGTCAAGAATTTCCCCAAATATTATGCGATAAATGATATTTTTCCTGGACTGAATTTAAAAACATAAAAATTCAGCTGTCTCCTCTTAAAAAAAAAAAACAGACATTAAAGGTATTCTCAAAAAAGTAAAGTGCAGTTCTTCCCAACAGTTATTTTTGTTTGGAAGACAGAAAACATAGTTATTTTCCCCAGAAACTGTTTTCTTTTCATGGCTCAGTTCATAGTGTCTTGACTAGCATGTGTGAGGCCCTAGATTCGATCCCCAACACCATATAAAGCCAGGAGTGGTGGTGCATGCACGTGCCTGCGATCCCAATGTGTGGGAGGCAGAGGCAGGGGGATCATAACTCCAGGCCAGCCTCAGCTATGTCAGTTCCCAGGCTAGCTGGGCATACATGTAAGCCTGTCTAAAGAAAAGTTACCTCTGTTAGTGTATTTTTCTAAAATGAAGTATTTTTACATTGTTAGATAGGACTTCTAACATGCTAACTACAGACTAAAAGCCTTTATAATCCTGTTGTGGTTTTGATGACACATGCCCCTGGGATGGCTATTCTTGGTTGTCAACTTGACTACATCTAGAAACAACTGTGAGGGGTTTCAAAGTCTTTTGAGGTGGGAAGATTCACCTTTAACCTGGCCCACACCTTCTGCTAGCATCCCATATAAAGGACACAGAAGAAGAAACCTGGTTCTCTTTGTCTGCTTGACCTTGGTCTTGATGGCAAGTCCATTCCTTTACTGGCACTAAAGAATAGCCCTAGTTCTTCGGGGTTCTGGTGTATACTGAAGACTAGCTGAGACACCCAGCCTTGTGTACTGAACAACTATTGGATTTGTGGATCTTCTGTGGCTAGACAGTCATTGTTGGACTAGCTGGACCACAGCCTGTAACCCACTCTAAAAAATCCTCTCTCTCTTTCTCCTGTCTCCTCTATCTCTCTCATATATACATATGAGTTATATTCATATATCTATATTCATTCTCTCAGTTCTGTCCCTCTAAAGAACCCTGACAAATACAGTCCCCCCTAAGCTCATATATCTGATCACTTGGTCCCCAGTTGGTGGCACAGCGTGGGGAAGCTGTGGAACCTTTGTGAGGAGGAGCCTTGCTGGGGGAGACATTGTTTCTAGTCCAGCCTCACTTCCTGTTCTTCTCTTTGGTGCCTCCTGCTCCTGCTGCCCTGCCTGCTACTTCCTGCTATGCCTCTCCCACCGCCACAATGGACTCTCACCCTTTGGAATCAGAAGGCAAATAAACTCTTCCTTCTATAAGCTGCCTTACAGTATTTGATCACAGCAACAGAAAAGGAACTGATACAGGTCTACAGTATTTTTTTTTTAAATTTGAGTGTCCTGAAACTACCTTTTGGGGGGGGGGGGATAACTGCCCTGGATAAACAGTGCATCTACCTAGTGCCAAGTTCTCTCCACCTACTCACTAATCCCATCCATTCTGTCTCTCACACTCAGCCAGTCTGAGCATCTCTCGCACATCTACCAGTTCCCTTCCCCGTAGAATTTTAATCTACACCAATATGGTTGTTGTTGCTTGAGACAGGGTCTTGCCTGTGATGCCTCAAATTTACAGTAGTGATGGCTCAAATTTACAGTAGCGCTGCCTTGGCCTCCTGATTAAAGGCAGGAAGCTTTTGTGTTATTTTTTGCTTGTACTTTTTCCCATCTTCAACCAAACACAAGACAAAACTTTCAGCTGACTGCAGTTCCTCTGCCAGCTACCGCTCCATTTCTCTGCTCCCCTTTGTGCAAGCCTCCTCATGAACACCGGGTGTACATTTTACCCAGAGTGCTTCCCATCCTCGCTCACATCTCCCTCTTTCGAGCTTTCCTACCACCTAACTCTGCTGAAAATCCTCACTGGAGTGAGCACAACCCTGGTTCTAGTTTATCTCCTAAATATAAAATACGTCCCAAACCCATGTCTCTACCACACTCTTCTAACAAACTCCTTTACACAGAGTCCCCATCATCCCCATCTCAGCTGAGGGAAAGTCCTTCCTGCTGCTCAGACCCCGGTCTCAGAATCTTCTTTAGCTCTGTTACCTCTCTCACATCCCGGGTAACCACTTGATCCTTCTGCTTGTACCTCCCAAGTGCTAGAATTAGGTTTGCTCCAACACATGTGGCTCTGACTGGAGTATCAGCACAGCAGCGGGCTAGCCCTTTAAAAGCTTACGTCACACCCTATTATTCTTCTACTCTGAGACTCCCAAACAAATCGCACCTTCATTCAGAGAAAGTTGGTATCTTCCCAAATACCCAGTGGCTCTTACTCAATCTGGCTCCTTGCTAATTTCCGTTTCCAGTGGTCTTCTCATTAGTTTTCTAAGTTCGGCACTTGGCCCTCCTCATCTCCCTCCCTCACTCCAGCCACTCTCACTCGTCTGTTCCTTGCCAGTTACTTGACCATGCTAAGCGGAGCATGCTACCTGGCAGGTCTCTGTATTCCACGGTCCCACATCCACACATCTACCCAGAGAACTCCCTTCCCTTCAAGGGTTTGCTCAGTGTTGCCCTCTGAGGTGGTTCCCATCTGCCAAGCAAGTGCCCACTGCCAGCCTCCAGCAATGCTTGCCACCTCTAAGTCTTTATTTTTGTATGGTATTTATCACTGACTGTACTGTATGATCTACTTGTATTACTCTCTCTTCATTCCTGCTTGGGTCAGCCCAGAAAGACAGCAACTTCTTATCTGTTTTGCTTACTGAACAGACCAGTGGCCTAGTGATGATGTCTGAAACGGATACGACGGGCATCCGTTCAACCATTATTTGCTACAGGGATAAAACGGGAAAACTTCTAAGGTGGTAGTTATTATGTCGAGCCAAGAAACCATCTCCATCTGCCTGACAGCTCCAGCCTGGTAAAGGAAAGTTGAAATTCTAGAATATCACTATGCATTGATTTCGACAAGAATTCCTTTCTGGCGGCCTGCAGCGATGGCTCAGTGGCTCAGAATGCTTGCTGGGCGAGCATCCAGTAAGAGCAGCTCAGGTCCCAGCATTTGTGTAAAAACAAAACACAAAATCCTGGTGGTGGCTGCACCCTCAACCCCAGTGCCGTGGGGAGCAGAGACAAGGGGATCATTGGGTTGCTGGCCAGCAGTCTAAACCCAGACTTAGTGAGAGGCTCTCCCTCAAAGAAATAATGCATAGCATGATGGAACAGGATACTTAATGTTCTCCTCTGGCCCCTGGACATGGGTGAACAGCCCTGTGTACCTATGTACCTATGCACATATACCACATATATCACACACAGAATGGAACCGCTTTCTAAATAGCTTGCACGTGCCAAATCCCGACCCTAGGCAGTCCAACATACTTTTCTGATTCTGGTGCCGGAGCCTCCTGCACATCCTGCTTCTGGATGCGGTTCTTGATGGAGGCGAGGGCTTCTGGGGAATACTGGGAAGCGTTGCTCTCCATGTATTTTAAAACGTATTCATCTGTATCGAGGATGACGAAGCGATGGCCGAACACTGAGGAGAGAGTAGCGTTACACTTACTTCAGCTTTGCTTCTCTCATGCAGTCAGGAGCAAACACTGTTAACCTTCTAGCAATAAATCCAACGGGAATCATTTGTGGCTGACAGGTGAATCCATTTGTTTTGTTGTTGTTGTTGCTGTTCTGTTTGTTTGCCTGCTTTTGAGACAATGTCTCTCTTCAAAGTCCTAGCTGTCCCGGACCTCACTATGTAGACCAGGCTGGCCTTGAACTCACAGAGATCCACCTGCCTTCTGCCTCCCAAGTGCTGGAATTAAAGGTATGTGCTAACACTGCCTGACCAGACTGGTGAATTTTGAAAAGCTGTATACATTAGTATTCAGTGATTTTTCTCGGGTTCCTCGTGTTAGCATCTAACAAATGGAGCCAATATATACAATAACATAGTATCTACAAATGCAACCAATTTAGAATTTAACTGATAAGCAAGGAGATTAAGAAATGGAAGCATGAATACCTTCAAATTAGCATCATCTGAGTCAGAACACAGCCCAGTTGCTTCTTATAAGGCTTAAGAATGCATTAAATCACAGCAAGTCCATTTTCCAAGCCATCAGGAAACTCTAAGCCATGTTTAGGCTTACCCTCAATCACGGCACCGATGAAGAAGTCACTTGGTCCATAGTAGATAGGGTTGTCAACCGAAGAGAATGGTTTAACAACTTTAGTTCTGCCCAGGAATTTACCCCCAATGATACCAGAATTTCGAACAGGAGGCTCAAAGATACTGATCATATCGGTGGCAAGAAAATAAGAGAAGATAAAGCGCCGGTCTTTGTCTTCCGGGATAGGGGATTCCTAGAAAGATGGAAAAAGAGAATGTCAAGGCTCATAGTCTTTCCAGGAAACCCAAAATGAAACCAAGCTGAATTCATATAAACATGCCATGTATTGAGGGTCTGTGCTGGGACAAACAGGTTTCATTTTGGGAAAGGAGGCCACTCCAATTTAGCTCCGGTTGATTGCTGCCTGGTGTGAGTGTAGGCCCAGAAGAAAACTCTGGGTTTCTATATAAGAGCCTCTGGCTTTCATATGTTGATTTGAGAATTCAAAGCAAGAAAGAGTAGAAGAGCTTCAGCAAGTCACAAGAGGAGGACTGGAATGCAGAAGAGAACCACAAGGGAAAAGCACTGGAAAGACACCAGGCTGAGCACAGTTTCCCAGCCACATGGCTCCCAGGGACATGGCCCCAGCCGCATGGCCCCCCAGCCGCATGGCCCACCAGCCGCATGGCCCACCAGCCACATGGCCCCCCAGCCGCATGACCCCCCAGCTGCATGGCTCCCCAGCCACATGGCCCCCCCAGCCGCATGGCTCCTAAGGCAAGAGGCTCCCCAGCATGTGGCTCCCAGCAGAGGGGAAGTCTCACCTGAAAGGTAAGCCAGGCAACACAGCAAGTCTACAGACTTGACAAGGCTCAACAACAGTACAGAAGAGTCCCCAGCTCAGAGGGCAGACGGGTGGGCCCAATTTTGAGAACTGTTGTTTTAACACTGAGTTGTTATCTGGGGGCCTGAGAACAGGCCACATACACAAGTATAGAGGCAGCTTGCCATGGGGGAGAGGGGGGTTAGAGATGCCTCCACTGAGCAGCTGCGGAGCGTGCCCGGATGTTGACAACCGAGAAGAGCAGGTGACAAGAGGCTAAACTGAGGCAGGAAAGTGTACCGGGAAAAGAGTGCAGCTGCTGATGGATCACATGTCTAAACACTATCAGCAGGCAGAGAGAACTAACTGGGAATGGCACCGTGCACTGTTTCAGAACCTCAAGGCTCCACCCCGTCCCCCGCTGTGATACATCTCTTCCAGCAAATCCACACCTCCTAACAGTGCCAAAAACAGGGAACCAAGTATTCATATGTTCATGACTTGCTTGTCACATCTCATTCAAACCACCACAGTGGCCAATACTTAGAGTCGAGGAAGTATGGGACAGGTCTTCTGCCAGTACAGGGCTCAGTGGGGTGCAGTGGGTGCCTTTTCTACCCCAAGACACGTAGAGCCCATTCATGCCTACAGTATTAGCTACCCCGAGGTTATTTCCAGTTTCTTCCCCCTCATGCTGTTCTAGAAGCGCCTGAACAAGGTTGAGTATAATGTGTGTAACAGTCACGCCTCCCGTGCTCCTCCCTGAAGGGAGTATTTTCTCAACTCTTCGGTACTCTGTTTACAGTAGGATTTGTAAATATATTTTATAAGATTAAGAAAATTCCCTTTTCTTTCCAGTACTTAAGAGATTTATTTTAAAAATGCAATAGATTTATTTATTTTTTTTTTTTTTTTTTTTTGAGACAGGGTTTCTCTGTAGTTTTTGGAGCCTGTCTTGGAATTAGCCCTTATAGACCAGGCTGGCCTCGAACTCGCAGAGATCCACCTAGACCTGAGCATTGTTTCTAAGTCAACAGAACCCAGCTCATAGGCAAAGCCATATGTACTTTGTAAAGAACTTCAATGTAAAGACGCCTCAAGATTTCCTGTCCTCACAGGATTGACTTAATTGTTATCAGAAAACTAGGAAGAATGACTGAGGAAAACACAATGCCTGTAGGCAACAGGATTTGGCCTGGCCCTAAGATAAAACAGAAGTCACTTGGGCTGTTGTAAAATACAAATGACATCTCTCACAAGGATGAGTTTTATGGCCTGGAAGTGACGTTCAAGGTTTGGGGATGAAGGGTCTGAGATGGGTAAACATAATTCTGGGGGATACCGTGGAGCCTGGCTCATCAGACAGCAAGAGATCACCAGGTTGAAAATTAGGCCCATTTCCAGCACTTCAGGAGGAAGACTGGTTAAATATCTCCTCCTTTGAAGGATGCCTGTGTGTTTAAGGTTCCTGGCTTCTCCAGTGCTTCACTGTGCGCACAAGGGTCTTTTGCCCTCTACAGTGCACAAACCTGAAGGCAAAACACTCATACATATAAAATAATTTAAAATCTCAAAAGGCAACCTCTATTAAGTTAGTATAATTCAACTTTTTATACTTACTATAAAATAATACATTTAGATATCATAGCTAGTATTAAAAATCAATAAGACATAATTTCTATTCTTTAAGAAATATACTCTGGAAGTGTCTATCAATGCACAAATGATTAAAATATGGTATAGAAATCTACAATTGTTTAACAGGCAAAGTGGATGAAAATTTTGAGGTATTGAAAGTAGAGATTATGGATCTAGAAATGGGGGGTGAGGAACTGAGCCGGGTCTTGGTTCAGAAGCATTATACTACCTAACATTTCTGAAGGCTGGCTACCATATACAGTGTTTGCTGTAGTGAACACGTGACTTTAACACTGTGACTCTATACCCTACAGACAAAATGAACAATTGTCCAACATGCCGAGATAAAGGAAAAACATCTTAGGTATAAAATTTGCCTCACCAGTGCAGCCAGAAAGCGGAGCACCTTGTTGTCATTCACCAACATTTTAATGACATCTTTTCTAGGAGCTTTGGGAATGAGAGCAAAACAATTCTGAGCAGAGTCTTCGATCAGTCCATAGCCATTGTAGGGAGGTAACTCCTGGAGATAAACAGGAAGAAAGAGGTGAGGCTGTTGGTACTACATCACACAAGAAGTCACTGTGCGTGTCTTTTTCAGTGTCAGCTCAGAAACATGTACCCCAAAGCAACTCCTGAGGACTGCACATTTGTGGCCAGCCTGGGTTACATAATCAGACCTTGTCTCAGAAGTAAATGAACAAACATCCCATTCTCAACAAGTCACAAGACATATTTAAAAAGTAGTAAATTGGTACATTAAAAGGAAAAAGTTAAGAAGCAGAGATTATCCCTGGAAAGATCCCAGAGAGGGTATGCTTGACAACAGCTTTAAAACAACTATCTTAAAAATGCTCCAAGGGGGCAGCCCACATGGTGTGGGGGAGAGATGCAGTACTTGCCACAGAAACTCACAACTTGAACTTGAACCCTGAAATCCACAGTGAGAGGAGAGAGCCAACTCCCAAAAGTTCCCCCCTGACTTCCACATACATACCATGGTATGCACACGGCACATGCATACACACACACACACACACACACACACAATTTTTAAATGCTTAAATAATTAAAGGGAGATGTGAAAACCCTCAAGAAAATATAGTATAGCTGGGCAGTGGTGGTGCACACCTTTAATCCCTGCACTCAGGAGGCAGAGGC